GTACTTCTGGTTGTTCCCCTCATTCTGCCTTTCAGGAGACACTCAAACGTTCACCGACTCCGGTGAGCTAGCGATGTAACGTAGGTGTCTATTTAAACACCAGTGAACCACCGTAACAGAGATTGTAGGAGGTAATTCCTTGTTACAGCTGCCGTGGCCTCTCAGCTCTTCTCTGCTGTCGCTGAAAACACTGACATCATGCTGCTTCTTTAGGAAAAAGAGAAGAAAGTATGTATAGCTTTCCCTAGTACGTCTTGCTGACATACACAAAGCCATCCTGTGTTCATTTTGCTTAGCAATTAATACAGAGAAAAGAGTTATCATAAGGAGACTTACGGAAGTCCAAGAGGAAAACCAGATCTTCTGAGGTGTCTGTCACTGTAGCACTTACATTGCTGAAGGATGAACAAAAAAGCCCAATCAACTAACGAAGCATGAGTGCTTTGGATAGCCTCAGAGTTCCAGGGTTTTAGCACCTAGAAAGGGTTGATGCTTTTTCTGCAGTCTCAATTCTGTGTAGATTCTATAAGGATAATGAACTGTGAGGCCAAACAGTCACATCTCCTGTGTCTTGTACAATTTCTGTCCTATGCAGTTATCTATTTCTTCAAAATATGTAGGAGCTGTGAAACATCCATCCCCGTGCTCAACTGGACAGAAAGACCCCCGTGCTTTCTAAAGGAAAGGAAGACAGTCAACCTTATTTCCCGAACTTTTCTTTAGAAAAGTAGCTAGAAAAGTAACTTAGGTTGATGTTGACCTTTTAACTCTCGAGTCAATCTCATTTGAAGACAAAATTTAGGTGCTTCTTGACAATGATGTGTTAGTGAAGCTATTTACTGTCAATTAAGGAGCCTGGAAAATTCAGCTGTAAATTTGGTAGCTGCTGTGGTGGAAAATTAACTAATTGGTAGAGGTACTCAGACACAAATTTTTACAAACTTTTTTTTTTTTTTTTTTTTCAGATATGAAGCACTGTGCCCTCTGACACTTTGTTGGTTCTTACCATCAGAGGATGGCTGCCGTACTCTGTGAAAATTGTTCCTGCCAGTACCACCCCAGCCAGGTCAACCAGCCTCCTGAGATCAGCTGCACATTGCTCCTGATTATGCTTGGAAAAGTGTTCCTTGATTTCTTCATTTTACAAGTTAAGCAAAAGAACGTGAAAGTTAGTTTTATGGGATACTTTTGTGTCTCACTGGCACTTCTCGATTTCATACTGCTGACAAGTATATTTTTCATTTTCTGTTTTGAGGACTTTGCATTCTGGGGCATGCGATTTACAAAGCACGTTTGCCTCTTCACTCAGACAATTTCTCTTACCTACAGTATTTTACATCACCCAGTGTATCTTGTGGCTGGACTGGATTATTACATGACTATAGCCCAGACCTCTAAATTTCCTGGAAGAGGTCAGAAATTACTTTATGTATTTGCTGTGGCTGTTATATGGATTGCAGGATATTTTTGCACTCTGAAAATTCCTGCCATCTATGAAGAACTAGAAATTCAGAACCGTTTTTCCCCTTATCAGTGTCCTGTCCATCCCAGCAGGCAGAGTTACTTAACCTCCTGTGCCATGCTGCTCCTCATAGGCACGGCCCTCCTGGCCTGTCGGAAGGAAGTTATAACCATGCTGCTGTCTGTCAGGGTCGTCTCCTTCGCCAGTCACCCTGTTCTGATGTTCTCCTACGTGTCTAACAACACCAGCACTTGCTTGAAGCAGCAGCTCCTAAGCAGACTGCTCATCTGTTTTCTTGGCACTTGGGCACCTTTTGTTGTTCTTCAGATCATCATTTTGTTTCTGGGTGCTCGGATTCCAGCCTACGTGGAGCTGAATGTGCCCTGGCTGTACTTCATCAACAGCTTCCTCATCGCAGTGGCGTACTGGTGTCGCTGTCACCATGTTGAAGTGACAGAGGAGATGTGGCCTACAGATCCATTTGTCAGCTGGAAATTTTGCTTTATGCCATTTAACAATGAAAGCACAGAGCCAGCTGATAAGCCCAGCACAGTAATTGCCATCTGTTAACGAGCTGCTGGCTGGAAAGGCTGCAAGTGCATGCTGTGTGATAGAAGCGTGGAGTCTCACCTTCTGCAACCGGGTCCTTACAGGTAACACAAGGAAACATCTCCAGAGCCACAACCCGTGGAAAAAAAGTTCCAATGCCCAACAATGTTATAATGAATATTGCACCAGAGTGGGACACCGCACACTTCCGCACCGGGTTCCAGCGGCCAGCGAGCACCTGGCAGTTCAGAGAGTTTAACTTGAAAATCCAGGTTTAGGAAAAGGCCACTACTTACACGAAACAAGTTTTCAGTTAAACCTTGTGTTTATGACTAGAGTTTTGCACTTGCTTTAAATGGAATGATCTCAGGTTCTAGAGCATAAAATGCAAGGAAGTCTTCTTTGAAGCCAGAGCCCTTTCATCAGTTATGTACATGTTAAACCTACTGTCAAAGCTTCAAACAACTTCGGTGATTTTTTTGAAAGGTATTTTCTTGTTAAAGTGTAACTTTTTGTCAGTTTGATTTGAGGGTTGTTGTCTGTTTACTGAGAAATAAATTGTTTTAGTGAATATAAAGCTGCAACTCCTACATAAGTAGAAACTTTGTTTACTGGCACAAAAATAGTGCAAGACCAGAACCAGAAAAGGTGTTGATATTTCATTAATTCTTTGCTACGGCTTCTCCAGTGTATATAAGTACATATTAAAAATTAAGTAATTACAGTCAGAGCAATAACAAGGTTAGATGCTATAACTAAATGCATTCCCAAGGTTTAAGAATGGCTTAAATTAAAATTTATTTTGAAGCCAAAACTACTTAAAAATTAGTTAAATTTGAAGTGGGACTACTTCAGTAGAAGAATTAGTCGGGCTTCTAGCAAAAATGCTCTCTTAATTTTCAAATCCTTACAGTTTCATGAAGGTCTTGATTTCATTTCGTAGAAGAGAAATCACTGACGCACAACCAAAGCAGACAAATGGAAGTAGCATTTATTTCTGAAGCACTGAACTCACAATACAACGTTGTACTGAAATAGAAACTATATAGTTAAATGATGCTGTAGGCTGGTTAATCGTTCACGCAGACCCACGGGGAACAAGGATATCACACAAGAATACTCATTAAGAAAAATCTGCAGATAACAAAAGGTGCAATTACAAGCAAGTTTAAGCAGCATAGTATAAGGTGCTTTGTTTCAGCATTTGTATGATGAATTTACCCATTAACAGATTAAAGAAATTTCACTTCTACAGATCATAACCAATGAGAAAATCTAAAATTCCTTCACATGCTAGCTGGTCATAGGAAAGTGCTTTTTTAAAAAAGTGATTCACAAAGTCAAGATCGCATTTTTACATAGTTCACTGTGTGCTCTTCAACTGTAAAATTTCATTTTTGGGTTATCATTTACATTATTATATCTCAATTACAGACACAGACGTAATTGCAGAATTTTACGCTACACGGGCTAAAGTATCTTATAAAAGGATATTCCAGTCTATCACTCCATAAGAATACACAACCACGTCCCAGTTGTACATCAATCTCACATTTCTGCTGTATATCAAAGTCCAATTACCATTCCCATTTCTTGCTCCGCCCCACATAGTGCTTCTTTCAGCTGCAGTAATGGGAAATCTCTCGTGAGGTTTCCGTGATGGAATCAAAAGGACACAAACAGTTTTAAACAGTAGAAAATGGTTTGGGGAAGGTCTGTTAAAAAGGCCATCACAAGGACAGTAAGTGATCAATAACAATTTTAAAACTAGTGCAATGAGAGGAGGCAATGCTTAGCAATATAGTTTGAAGTGTTTGGCACAAGTTATTTCATCCTTTATGCTGGAAAACATACTTGGAGGCAATTCTATTTCCCTGTTAAAAGCAGGAACGCACATACAACGTTAGCTTGAAAAACCACTTGAGCAGTCACTCCCTGCGCTCTGCAGTCGCCACTGCTGCTATTCAGCGCTCGAGATGCTGCAGGATAAACCATCTCTAAACACCTTTTTTTGACACAGCATTTCTCCAGGTTTTATACAAACTGGACACTCATTGCAGTGAGGTTGACAAAATATTTACAAAACCTAATTCCATGTAAAACCCGGCAAACATCTCAAATGTAGTACTGCACCAGGCATTTCAAAAGATCATGAAATACCTCATCCCTCCAGACTCGGCAGGCAAGGGAAAATTCCTAATTTAAAATCCATCTAACACCAGATGAAGGCCAAGCTATTTGCACGTACGTTTCAGATGCTCCTGCTCTGTGTGGTTACTCTCACCCTTCTGGCTAACACGCACAGAACTGGAGCCGCAAGAAGCTGCCTGGATTTTACTTATCAGCCTGGCTCAGTTTCCCAACCTGTCATTAAAGCTGACACAACCTGATCCGTCCTGACGTGTCAGAATTCCCGTAGTTGCTGCAATGCTTCCAAAGCCACGTTAAGTTTTTTAAATTTCTTTTTTTACAGGGAAGCTACAGCATGCAGCCAAACTAATATTAATGCACTGATGTTACATCACTGTATTCCTATCAAATTCACTCTTCCACACTCCTTGGGGAAAGTGTCAGAGAACATCAACCTTCAGGCTGTCACTACACCCACTGAGTAGGTAACAGCAGCACTTCACACAGCATCCAGCTGTGGCATTCGAGCCTGCTGGGAACTATTTTATAAAATCCATTAATAGCAGCTCACTGCGTAAGCCCACCTTTATCCCTGACTTTTTATGGAGGGAGACACCAATTGTGGTGATCTTTATCCTATTTCCCTCCCAACAGCCCACGTCTTGTCCTCTCTTTGTGCATTTTATTTTCTCAGTGCTTCTCGGAAGTGCCAACACTGAAGCCTAAGTCCAGCCATATAACCACAAACCACCACTCTCTAGAACAGGATTCCAGTTTCACTTTTCACTGGACAGAGGAGAGCAGTGCTGGGAAGGGGGCAACATCTGAAGTAGTAAGAACTATGGACAAGCCCTGCTGTATCTCCTCGGTACACCACTTCTTTGTGCCGTGCCAGCAACTCACAGCCTCATGCCATTCACGTACTTCAGTCTTTCTTAAAGGATTATTTGATATTAATGGTAACAGCAGCTAAAGTGTTAACCCTTTATGAGAAACTGCCGTACCTTCCTCATATGAAGAATCTCAAAAAACCCACATTTATTTTAGTGAGATATTCTGTGGTTTCAACTCTAAACAGAAGTATTTGGCACTGATTAATAAACCCCTTCATTCTCTACACACACCTTTCCTCGTCAGTACTGGTTTGCTAAGACTAACACAAAAACTACTTCAAAAAGGAAGCTGGGTGTGCAGAATATCTCACTGTTCTCTCAAACACTGACTTTGCAAAAAGCTGCCAGAGGATGGCAACGTCCTGGCTGCCAATACACTGGCCAGGCAGTGTAGAACAGAAGCCTTCAAAAACCAGGTATGCCTCGTGAATTAATGGTACCTGTGCTTCGAGCCTAATCCCATAATCAGCAAGGACACCCTGATCGAGTACCTGTGAACAACACGATAAGCCGTTCGACAACTCTACTAACAATACGGTGCTTTTTACCAACAATTAAAATGCTCCTTAAGTGTTTTGTATTGCACTTCAACGATATTTATTATCACTACTCTATGAATGTACAACTGTGCTCAAATTATGACTCTTTCTAGATGGAAAAGTCTCTGTAGATCTCTTTTTTCTAGCTCCTTACTGTACAGTCATTTTGGATAACTGAGAAGGAAGCTAATACGTACTGGAAGTTTAACACTTTTTAACTGGAAATCTGTTTACAGCACTGACTCCAAGAACGGCGCTTTGGAGAAGCCAGATCAGCAGCTACAAAAGCTAGATTATAAGCTTACCACGTACCTTCGATTACAAGCACATTCACATCTTTGAATTGTTTTTCCCTTCCACTTAGCTATAAGGGACCAGTAAATAACACACACATCCTCCATGTGAACAAGCAGGTGTGTGTAATCTTTAATGTAGAGGCTACACAAACCTACATATCACTTTAGGAAGGGGACCTTGAATATATGTGGAAGTGCTGCCCATGAGACCCAGGGGACAAGTAGGACACAGAACTCTACAGTCAACACAGCTGACACCAAACAGGGCACAAAACACGCATAGAAATCTATAGGGAGAAGGAAACGGCATGTGATAGAGCTCCTCTGAAGTTACAAAGAAAGTAAAACCAAATCATAGAATGGTTTGGGTTGGAAGGGACCTCAAAGATCATCTAGTTCCAAGCCCCCTGCCATGGGCAGGGACACCTTCCACTACACCAGGTTGCTCAAAGCCTCATCCAACCTGGCCTTGAACACTTCCAGGGATGGGGCAGCCACAACTTCTCTGGGCAACCTGTTCCAGTGTTTCACCATCCTCAACGTAAAAAATTTCTTCCTTATATCCAATCTAGATCTCCCCTCTTTCAGTTTAAATCCATTGCCCCTTGTCCTATCACTACACACCCTTGGAAAAAGACCCTCTCCAGCTTTCACCAGCCCGATTCATACGGATTAGGGTGATGTGTCCTAACTGCTTTTGTGTTCAGCGTACGTCCCAGGCTCTGACCGCAGGGTACAGGCTGTCCATCAGCTCTTACACCACACTGGGGACAGCTTTTTGAAAAAGAAAACAGCATCTACACAGCAGGCACTTATCTCTATCATAATTACCATCTTTTTTTAAATGTCACTCTCTGCAAAGCCATCCAGTGGATGTAACTACATAGAACCGACAGGGTCCAAATAAGTCCTTATGACTAAAGGCAAATTCCTTTAAGATGAACTTAATTTAGGCTTAGCTTAAATGAACTAAGCATTAAATGAGTTTAAATTTCTTTCTCCTCACAATATTTCCTGTCTGAAGCTACAGATAACTGAGCAAGAGTAACTTAAAAATTAATTCATATGAAAAATTACTAACCTTATGTTGAAATGATGCATTTACAGCTCTGTTCATATCTGTTTCGCCCAGCATTCGACAGAAACAGTATATTTAAACCAAA